GTTGTTATTATTGTTGTTGCAAAATTGTATGTTATAGCATTTTCCAAAATTGTCCCTTATTCTTGCTTACTTCTTAGCGTCTTCATTCATCTTGGACAAGTGCAAACTTCACCCATATTGGCTGTTGCCTTTCCCATCACCAAAGATAACAAGTGTCTACTATCTAGAAAGTGATTGCCCCTCCTTCCCCCTCCCATCCCTGGTAACCATCAAGTAATGCTGCTTTCTGTGTGTATTTATATTCTTGACTTTTAATAAAAGTGAGGCCATACAATATTTGTCCTTTTGTGATTGACTTCTTTCACTCAGCATAATGCCCCCCAGATTTATGCATGTTATAAGATGTTTTGCAGACTCCTCACTATTCTTCATAGTTGTGAAGTATTCCATTGGATGTGTGTATCACAATTTGTTTATCCATTCATCTGCTGATGGGCACTTAGGTTGGTTCCATTTTTTTGCTATTGTAAATAATGATGCAATGAACATAGGTGTGCACATGTCTATTTGTGTCACTGCTCTTAAATTTCTAGTATATATATACCCAGGAATGCGATTGCTGGGTAATAAGGTATTTCTACGTCTAGCTTTTTGAAGAAGCACCATACTGTTTTCCATACTGGTTGTACCATTTTACAATTCCACCGGCAATGTATAAGAGTTCCAATCTCCCTGCAACCACATCAGCATTTGTTGTTTTCTGTTTTTGTTTTTTTTTTTTATCATTGCCATTTTTGCATGGGTGAGATTGTATCTCATTGCAGTTTTTGATTTGCATCTCTCTAATGGCTAATGATCACAAGCATCTTTTCATATATTTGTTGGTCGCCTGACAGTCCTTTTTGGTGAAGTGTCTGTTCATGTTCTTTGCCCATTTTTTGATTGGATTGTTTGCCTCTTTGTTGTTAAATTGTTGAAGTTTTCTATATATTTTAGAGATTACATCCTTATCAGATATGTTGTTGCCAAAGATTTTTTCCCAGTCTGTAGGTTCTCTTTTTACTCTCTTGGTAAAGTCTTTGATGAGCATTAAGTGTTTAAATTTTAGGAAGTCCCATGTCCCAGTTATCTAATTTATCTTCAGTCATTTGTGCATTTTTTTGTTTTGTTTGATAGACTATGCTGAAAATTAGGTCCTCTAGTTTTGATCCTATGTTATCTTCCACGAACTTTATAGGTTTACCTTTAATATTTAACTCTTTGATCCACTCTGAGCTAGTTTTTGTACACAGTGTGAGGTATGAATCTTGATTTACTTTTCTGCATATGGATATCCAGTCTCTTTGTTAAAGACACTGTATCTTCCCCATTGAATAGATTTTGACCCTTTGTTGAAGATTAGCTCCCCGGAGATGGATGGATTTACATCTGGGTTCTCAATTCTATTCCATTGGTCTATGTGTCTGTCATTGAACCAGTACCAGGCTCTTTTAATTACCGTGCTGTATAGTAAGTTTTGAGATTGGGAAGTGACAGACCTCCTATTTTTGTTCTTCTTCAATATTGCTTTAGGGCCTGATTCCTTTCCATATAAAGTTGGAGATTAGTTTTTCATTTCATTAAAGAATGTTGCTGGAATTTGGATTGGGATTGCATTATATCTATAGATTGCTTTTGGTAGTACTGACATTTTCACAATGTTGAGTCTTCTAATCCATGAGCATGGAATGTTTTTTCTATTTATGTAGATCTCTTTTAGTTCTTACAGTAGTGTTTTATAGTTTTCCCTGTATAAGTCTTTTATGTTCCTGGTTAGGTTTATTCCTAGGCATTTTATCCTTTTGGGGACTATTTTAAATGATATTTATTTCTTGATTTCCTTTTCAGAGTCCTCCTTGTTAGTGTAGAGGAACCCAATTGACTTTTGTGTGTTGATCTTGTACCCTGACACTTTGCTGAATCCTTCTATTAGTTTCAGTAACTTCCTTGTGGAGTCTCTGGGATTTTCTATGTATAGGATGATGTCATCTGTGAATAAGGTTAGTTTTACTTCTTCCTTTCCAATTTGGATACCCTTTATTGCCTTATTGCTCTAGCTAGAACTTCTAGTACAATATTGAGTAAGAGTGGTGATAAAGGGCATCCTTTTCTCATTCTTGTTCTCAAGGGGAATGCACTCAAACTTTCTCCATTGAGAATAATATTGGCTATTGGTTTTGCATATACGGCCTTCATTATGTTGAGGAATTTCCCTTCTACTCCTGTTTTGCTGAGAGTTTTTATCAAGAAAGGGTGTTGGATTTTATAAAATGCTTTTTCTTTATCGATTGAGATGATTATGTGATTCTTTTCCTTTGTTTTATTTATGTGGTTAATTGTGTTGATTGATTTTTCTAATGTTGAACTATCCCTGGTATCCCACTTAATCATGATTTTTGATATGTTGTTGAATTCTGTTGGCTAGAATTTTGTGGAGAATTTTTGAATCTCTGTTCATGAGGGATATGGGTCTGTAATTGTCTTTTTTAGTGGTATCTTTGCCTGGCTTTGGTATCAGGGTTATGCTGCCTTCACAGAATGAATTAGGGAGTATTCCTTTCTTTCTACGTTCTTGAATAGCTTGAGTAAAATTGGTGTCAACTGTTCACTAATGTTTGGTAGAATTCTCCACTGAAGCTGTCTGGGCAGGGGCTTTTTTTGTTGGGAGTTTTTTTCTTATGACATTTTTTTATTTCTTCGTTATGGGACTGTTGAAATTTTCTACCCCCATTTGTGTAGTTTTGGTAGGTAGTGTGTTTCTAGAAATCTGTCCATTTCTATGTTTTCAAATTTGTTGGAGAACAATTTTTAGTAGTATTCTGTTATGATCCTTTTTATCACAGTTGGTTCTGTTGTAAAGTCATCTATCTCATTTCTTATTTTGGTTATTTGCATCTTCTCATTCTTTGTCAATTTGGCTAGTGGTTTGTCAATTTTATTGATCTTCTCAAAGAACCAACTTCTAGTCTTATTGATTCTTTGTATTATTTTTCTGTTTTCTGTTTCATTTATTTCTGCTCTTTTATTATTTCCTTTTTTCTAGTGACTGTGGACTTCTTTTGCCATTCCTTTTCTATTTACTGGAGTTATAGGGATAAGCTATTTGTTTTTCCCCTTTCTTTTTTGATGTGTGCAAATTCTTCTCCAAGCATTGCTTTTGCTGTGTCCCAAAGGTTTTGATATGTTGTGTTTTCATTCTCATTTGATTCTAAGAATTTTTAAATTTCATTTTAAATTTCTTCTATTACCCAGTAGTTTCTAAGTAAGGTGTTATTCAGTTTCCATGTATTTAATTTTTTTCCTTGCTCTTTCTGTTACTGATTTCTAGTTTTATCATGTTATGATGAGAGAAGATGTTTTGTATTATTTAGATGCTTTTGAATTTATTGAGGCTTGCCTTGTGGCCTAATATATGGTCTATTCTGGATAATGATCCATGTGCATTGGAGAAGAATGCTTCATTGGGTGATATGTTCTGTATATGTCCATGAGGTTGAGTTGGTTGATTATGTTACTTAGATCTTCTGTATCTTTGTTGCGTTTCTTTCTGGTTGTTCTGTCCATCATTGAAAGTGGTGTGTTAAAATCCCCCTCTACTATTGTAGAACTGTTTATTTCTCTTTTCAATTCTATCAGAGTTTGTTTTATGTATTTTGGAGCTCTGTCATTGGGTGCATAAATATTTATTATGGTTATGTCCTCTTGGTGGATTGATCTTTTAATTAATACATAATGTCCTCCCTTGTCTCTAATAATGGATTTTGACTTGAAGTCTATTTTATCAGTGATTATTATTGCCACTCCTACTCTCTTTTGCTTACTGTTTGCGTGATATATTTTTTTCTGTCCTTTGATTTTTAACCTATTTTTCTCTTTGTGTCTTGTAGGCAACATATTGATGGGTCATGTTTTTATCCATTCGGCTACTGTCTGTCTCTTGACTGGTGCACTTAAACCATTTACATTCAGTGTGATTATCGATAGGTATGAATTTATTGCTGCCATTGTTTTATGCTTTTTATTGTAGTGTTAACGGTTTCCTTGTTCCACTTAATTTTCTATGTTAAGTTCTTTTTCTTTGTGGATTTTCTTTTCATTTCCTTCATTGTTGTTGATTTTATGTTTGCTGAGACTTTTTGATTTTCTTCTTTTTTGGTAAATATATTTATTAATTTTCTTTGTGGTTACTTTGAAATTTACCTTTCTCTTCCTAAGTTTAAAACAGTGTTATATCTTGATATTGCCTTGACTCCTCTCCATATGGAAATTCTATAACTACACCATTTATTCCCGTTTTTGTTTTGAAGTTGTTGTTGTTTACAGATTGACATCTCTGACTGCTTCCTTTCAGTTTTGCAGCTTTATTTTACATTTTAGAATTCTTTGTCTGGGTTGGTATCTGAATGATGCTCTTGTGTGTCTTAATCTCAGGTTGCTGTCTGATGTAGTTGATTCTCTGTCCAAAGGACTCCCTTTAATATTTCTTGTAAGGTTGGTCTAGTTTTTTATAGATTCCCTTAATTTCTGTTTATCTGGGAACGTTCCAGTTTCACCATTGTATCTGAAAGACAGTTTTGCTGGATATATGATTCTTGGTTGGCAATTCTTTCCTTTCAGGGTTTTATATAAGTCATCCCACTGCCTTCTCGTCTGCATGGTTTCTGCCAAGAAATCAGTGCTTAGTCTTATTGATGTCTCTTTGTAGATGATATCCCATTTTTCACGAGCTGCTCTCAGAATTCTTTGTCTTTGTCTTTGGGAAGTCTGGTTATAATATGTCTTGGTAATTTTCTTTTGGAGTTTATCGTGTATTGGGTTCATTGAGTTTCTTGGGTGGAAACGTCTCGTCTTTCATGATATGAGGGAAGTTTTCTGTCAATAAATCTTGAAAAATTCTGTGCTTCACCCCCCATCCTCTCCTCCTCTTCACTTTGTTCTTATACTGTTTTCCTGAATTCTTCTTGAGTTTTTTCTGTGTTTTCCTTGATCTCTTTGAGAATCCTATATATAAGCCTTTTGAAAAAAACATGGAATGCTTCATGAATTTGTGTGCCATCCCTGCACACTGGCCGTGCTAATCATCTCTGTATTGTTCCAATTTTAGTATATGTACTGCCAAAGTGAGCACACGATATATATTTTTACAAAAACAAAGAAGAATAGCTGCTGAGACTCCTTATATGCAACCAAACACCTCATGGGATTTGGTTTCTTGATCTGGAGGTTCAGGGTTGTGGTTTCATGGGACATCTCAGTTAACTGGGCCAATATCATTTTTAGTGCTTGTGTTCTACCTCCTAGTTCATGGCATAATGCCTAGGGTCTTAAAAAGCTTGCAAGTGACCACCTAAGGTACAACAATTGGTTTCTATTTGCTTGCAGCAAAAGAGGAAGAAGAAGAGTCAAGAATAAGAGCAGAAAATGGAATGCATGTCTCCATGAACAACTGCCTCCTCTGCCGTAAGACCAGACCTGGATGTTGCCTGGCTACCTTTACTGAACGTTTTGATCAAAAATTCTATAGAAGAGCCCCGATCAAAAGGGGGGAAAATGCAGTTTAAATTTCTTATGGAATTCAGTCTTTCTGGAGCTATTGAGGCTAGATGAACCCCCAAAACTATTGCCCTGAGACAATCTTTAAAACTTAAACAAAAATATCCCCTGAAGTCTTCTCTAAACCAAACAACAGCTTAGCTTCATTAGTAAAGAATGTATTCCTTCAGCATTTTCTGCTCTTTTAAAGAACAACTTATATGGGATCAAAATGACAACAACTCAAAAGATTGCATAGGCAGCTTTGAGGGCAGTGAGTTTATGTTAATGCAGAAGAATAATTTGGAAAAGGAGGGTACCATTGGCTGGACATCTTGAAGAATTTAATCAATATCACTGAATTATATATGTAGAAATTGCTGAATTGCTGTATGTTTTACTGTATATATTTTCAATGATTTTAAAACAAACTTACTCTGACACACATGGGGTCGCCATGAGTTGGCATCAACTCAACGGCAACTGGTTTTTGCTCAGTTGGTATTCAGTATAAGATGCATATAACTGTACGCATGAAAGTGTAGAAAGAGGACTTAAAGTTCCATAATAGACAGAAAGCCTGGAAGTTTTGAGGAAAGCAAGATGAAGAAGTAGAAGTGGTAGGGAGTTTTGAAAGGATTTTAGAAAACTAATATAAGTCAAGGTGCTGATTGTTAAAAATGAGGAACAAAGGGATAATTACACAGAAAATTTCCAGTATTTCCATAGAACAGTGTTACTTGGTTGTAATACTCATCAACTGAAAATATTACTAGCGTAACACTTTGGCTCATTAGTGTTCAATTGCCAGTGTTACCAATCTAGAACACAGCCAGAAATTAAGAAGTATTCAAAAGTTCCTGAGTAGTCAAATGCCCTACTAAAAATGAGTAATGAAAGTGATGCTGTATGTGCTCCAACTTTAATATGCAAGAAAATTACCCGGAGTAACTGTTGATAGCACAGACTCCACACTCTGACATTCTTTTCAGCTGTGTGACCTTGGATAAATTTCCTACCCTCTCTCTGCTTCAGTGTCTATAAAATGGAGATAATATTAATACTCACTACTGGTGCTATAAAGTTTAAATTATTTTAATGTATGTGGAGGCTTTAAAGAGTATCTAGCCCATATTAATTGCTAAATACATGTTAATTACTTATTATTAAACGTTGAGTGAATGTCCGTCTACTGCTTTAAAAAAATTTATTTTGAAAAAATTTTAAATTTACAAAATAGTTGTCAAAAAAGTATAAAGAATTCCCTATACTCTTCATCCTGGTTCCTCTAATACTAACACCTCACGTAACTATAGCACAATTATTAAAACCAGGAAATTTAACACTGATACAATATATTAACTAACCTAGAGACCTTGTTCAAGTTTTGCCAATCATCCCGTTAATAGTCTTCTTTCTTGTCCAGGATCCCACACTACACTAACTTGTTGTATCTCCTTAGTTTCTTCCACTCTGGGACAATTCCCCAGTCTTTTTTTGTTGTTGTTGTGACTTGACATGTTTGAAAAGTATTGGCTGGTTATTTTGTAGAATGTCTTTTAGTTTTCTATTACTGCTGTAACAAATAACCACAAACTCCATGGCTTAAAATAACACAAATTTATTATCTACAGTTCTGGAGGTCAGAAATCCATAATTAGTTTTGCTATTGCCGGGTGCCATCGAGTTGTGACTGATAGTGACCCCATGTGACAGAGTAGAACTGCCCCATAGGGTTTCCTAGGCTGTAATCTTTATGGAAGCAGATCACCAGGTCTTTCTCCCTCAGAGCTGCTGAGTAGGTTTAACTACCAATCTTGCAGTTAGCAACTGAGCACTTACCTGTTGTGCAACCAGGGCTGGAGCCAGGATGGTTGCGTTCCTTCTGGAGACTCTAGGGGTAAGCTGCCTCTTACTGCCTTTTCCAGTTTATAGAGGCTGCCTGCAGTCCTTGGCTCATGGACCTGCATCCCTCCAACTTTAGAGATGCTCAGATCTCTGTCTCTGATCTCTTACCTCCCTCTTATAAGGACTGTTGTGATTACATCAGATCTACCCAGATAATTCAGCTAAATCTTCTTATCTCAATATCCTTTATTTGGTCACATTTACAAAATCCCATTTTCCATGAAGATAACATATTCATAGATTCCAGAGATTATGACATGGACATCCCAGGGCATTATGCTGCTCTGCTTTTTTAAAAAGAAACAAACAGTTAGGGCAGGTCTACCATCCCTTAAACTTCAATTCTGAAATCAAAAAAGCTATAAAAATCCAAATTTCTCCCCCTGTAAATTCGGTGCAAACTCTTTTGGCAGAAAAACCTAACCTGAGCCAACAATGGCTATTTATTATTTTTGTTTATTTCACTTATTGAGATATTCAGATGTTTTCCTGCAAAATTATTAATGTTTGATCATCAAGTGATGTCCCCAACCCTGCTGGGGGTGGTGGTGGTATATACTGTACAGTTTTTGTACTGGATTACATTTGAAAAATCTGAAAATTTCTAGAACACATATTACCCTAAGGGTTTTATATATGAGATTATTAACCTGTATACTGAAACACAATTTAAATAAATAAGCAGATTCTCCTGTTGAATAGAAACTACAAATTGCATTATGACACCCCCTCCCCATTATTGAGGATATTGACCTGTCCACCTGAAAAATACATGACAACAAAAAGAATACATACACAATGTTCAAATTGTAAGAACAAAGTGAACTGTAAATTGCTAAAATAACTTTCGTGACAGGTATCCTTTTGACATTGAGGAAGTGATTTACTACTTCAAGAAAATGTACTGAAGTCTAAGAACTTGTATGTCCATCATACTTATTTTCCAAATAAAACCACCAAGTCACTAAAATATCCCTGAAAACGTTCTCAGTTTCAGAAAATATATACAGAGACATATCATATACAATACTATTTCTAGCGACTCAATAAAAACAATTATAAGTTATAGTATATCTTTTAGATATATGTCATAATCTAGCTTTGTGAATTTTTACTGATACTGCATTTTTCTGAAAATAATGCATGCCTTCTACGTTTGCCAACTGTCCCCTCCCTCCGTGAGGTATTTTCATAAATGCGCTATGCTAATTTTTTTATAACAGCGTGTTATTTGTGTAAAAATACAGTAATTTTTAATTGACTTTTTTGTTTCATTCCTTCTGATTGAACTCAGCAAATGTTGATCAAAATAGAAACTTAAAATTAAACACTTAACACTCTTTCTAAGTTCACTTTTAAATTTTAAAGATGTTAATAATCTCAATTTTGTGAATCATGAAATACAACTTTGAAGAAGATTAAAGGCAATTTTATAGAAAATATTAAAAATAATAAAAGCATATTAAAAACAACACATTTTTTGGAAAATACCAATATGATTTTATTTTACACTTCCTGCCTCAGAATCAGAATCAGACACATTTCTCTAAGAAGCCCTGGTTTCTTTTAATAGAAATGGTATTACAGCACCACGTAGTTCCTATATTGGTCATTGTTTCTAGACTTTTCAAGTAGAACTACAAAATATCTATTGATTTATAGACACAGACACACACACACACACACACACACACACACACACAGGCACACACACTCACAAAGAGCCCTAGTGGTGCACCAGTTAAGAGCTTGGCTGCTAAATGAAACGTTGGCAGTTCAAACCCACCCAGAGGCTTCACAGGGGAAAGACCTGGCAATATGCTTCCATAAGGATTACAGCCTAGGAAACGCTATAGGGCAGTTGGACTCTGTCATTATGAGTCAGACTGTACTCAACAGCACATAACAACAAGAACACATACACAGGGAGAATGACACATATTTAAATATTATATGTATGTTATATTAAATATTATATGTCTATTATATATCTATCAAGAGAAGATATATATAATATTATCTATATTATATATAATATATAGTATAATCTATATAATATTTATATTATAGAGATACCTATTTCTCTATATAAAGATAGAATCCCTTATGAATTTATACTAAAATTTTTAATTCAAATTCAGGACTAAAGGTTTTCTTAACTTCTTGTCCATTACATCTTACATGTTGAGAATCCCAGTTCACCAGAACATGAGGAATGATAGAATTAGAACTACCCCATAGGGACTTGTATGATTTATCCCACATTACGATCATCAATAGTCTTAGAATAAAAATACTAATACTACCACAACCGATTGTGATTACTGAAAAGAGTTCAGTCTTTTTTTTTGCAATAACTCTTTACTCTTCCACCATTATTTAAGAATTGTATTATGTCTGTATTGTTAGAATACGCAATCTTAGTTTTACAAGATATATATATGTATAAAATCTCGTTAATGTCGCTCTAGTCATTGCAGTTGTCAGAAACTGCCTCAGCCTCTGCACAGATGCCAACAATAGGCAGATCTGGTGACTTTTTGCCCTCATCCTCTTGTATTTTAGAGCCTGGGGTGATATCTTGTCACCTAGTCGTTGTAAGGACCACTGGTGGTGCAGTGGTTAAGAACTTGGCTGCTAACCAAAAGGTCTGCAGTTCAAATCCACCAGCCGCTCCTTGGAAGCCCT